TTGGGGGGGGGGGGCGAGAGGGAGGGTGTCTGCTCCTGAACGTTTCTATAAATAACATAAACCTAAGTTAAACCAGCTGCTGGAGCTAGCTAGTCTCATAAGCCGAATTCCTCTAAAGGAAAACAAAATCAAAACAAAAGACTAAGGGCCTCCAAACTTCTGCTGGTTTTTATTGCTCTTTATCTGTAACATTTCGTGCCATTTTATAGCTGCATTGCTAGGAATGAAGAGAAAATATTGGGCCACAAGCAATGTATGTAATTTCTGTCCCTCTCAGTGATATATTTATGCTCTGCTAGAATTTAAGCAAAAGGACCAAAAATGTAAATCACCTGCTAGGGGTGATGGAAACATGTTATTCCTTTTGAAATATCATTTTTCCTAGAGATTTATCATCTGCTAATGGACTACATTATAAACATTTAAAATACATTATAGCTCTTTTAAAGTCACTTGGTGATTAGCTGCTGAGGTGGCAACCTTCTAAAAACTATGTTTACAAGAGTTTTGCATATTTGTATGTGATATATTTTGCTTGCCTGCTGGAATCAGAAAATATTTTTTCGGGAAAGCAAAAAAAAGAAGAAGAAGAAGAAGAAGAAGTTAGGAAGGAATAAAGAAAAAACAGCCCCAAACCAAATCAAGCCACTTGACAAAAGTACTTATTGTTAATAAATAAGAGCATGCACAAATTATTATCCCATAAAGCTTTCAAATATCAGTTTGTAACCACAGGATGAAATTTTCTTTAAAACATGATCAGGGGAGTAATTTAAAATTTCTCGTTTTCTTTTGAGAACACTTGGTTAAATATCTGACTGTAATAAGAACCCAAAAAAAATCCCCAGAAACCTTGCAATGCATATTAATTTAATGTCTTAAATTAATAGCATAAAACCACTGGATTTTTTAAAACTAGCTTTAAATAATGCAACATTCTGCAGTAAAAGGGGGGGGGCACAAGTTGAACCCTGTGTCTATATAAATAGTCTAGTCTTTTGCTCCAGGTTTTGGGGGTGAGGGGATAGAGGAGAACCACATTTTCCACTTGTTTTCAGAGTTTGTCACATTCCAACTTATAAATTATACACAAAATTTTCTGAAATCTATGAAGAAAACCCAAATCTTTTTCCTCTTTTAAGGAGTTTATGAATATAGATCATGTTTATACACGTTTGCTGGAAAAACAGTACTGTACAAGAATGAAATTCTTGACCAATACTTCCATCAATTATTTTTTTAAATCTCTAAATAAATCTATTAATTATTATATTATCCCATCCCTCCATTAAACAGCTACAGCAGCTTAGAGGACATTTCCCCCCAACCCAGATCAAAGGGTTGGATCCACATCTAATTGCATGCAACTGAATGAGCAGAAGCATGTTTCCCTTGTGCCCCCCCCCCCCGCAAGCACTCTGCCAGTGGTACATAAAGGAGTGGAGGATCCTACTTAAGGAAGTTGGTTGCAATACAGAAGGAAAGGTAGCACTCCCAAAAATCAGTACTGTAATGGAAGGCGCTCCCAGTTGATTTTTAGAAATGACTTCCCCCTTGTTGTCCATGACTCTGTGGCAGAAAGGACCCCCCACTTTTATGGGGTAAGGGGGAATGGAGGCTGCCCATTTTCCATAGGCGTGCCCACACTTTGGAACAGCTTCCATGCAGTAACTGAATCCAGCCTTCAACAAACTTAAAAATGGAGTTCTTTCAGACAGTCTTCAGGGGGATGAACTGGCGCCATCAGGCTGACTATGGTGATGGCAATTTGTGTTTATATTCTTTTACTATATGTTTTATTGTACAGTATTTCTACTGATGTAGAAGACATCCAGTCTTTATGACCGTGGCAGAGTACAAATCATATCATATCAAATCAATCCATGAATCAGTTGTGTTTTGAAAGTAGAAAGCCTCAAGAAAAATAATGTTTCCTATAGCAGTCCAGGGCTGCTGGAGTAAAATGAAGTCTGTGTAAATGCTGATGCAATTAATTTAGTAGCCATTGTTTCCCAGATTATTATCAGCCTATGGGGGAAAGTGTTAGTGCTCAAAATGATTAGACCTGTTGAACCAGCTGGCCTGATGCATTCCTTTTGTTATGTAAACTATAAGCACTGTTTGGATTCCCCATATCTCACAAAACGACGGCATATTTAACCATGGTTTGTTGAATAAACAAACTATTATGGCTTATCATGAAGTGGGAAACAAGCTATTATGCTGCTATGGGGCTAAATATTTAGCCAAGTGTTTCTTGATTGGAGAAAAACTCTCAACTACCACAGAAAGAAGCAGAATTCTCCTTCCGCAAACAAAGACTAAGGTATGGTATTTCTAAAGTAAACAGTAATTACAGTCTGGAGTTGGATTCAGAGAATATGGCAGATCCAAATTTGGAGTCTATAAGCATCTTAATTTGTTGCAGTAGAGTTCTGAGGCGGAAATATATCAATATTCGTGATGGAAGCATTTAACTCATGTTTCCAGTTTTGCTCTGTCTATACATTTGTAAATAAAAGTAAGTCTTTATGACCTCTATCAAATGGGAACCAAATTAGTATGACACCTGCACTGCTGGGACATCCTGCAATTCAGAGAAGTCAGATGTGCTTAGAATATCTTTAACTAGCTTATAGTTTAAACCAAGGGTGCAAAACTTTTTCTTAGTTGTATAGCATGCAGGAACTATCACCCCAAAGTAGCTAGGTGATGTCATGAAAACTAAGTTTTACTTAACTACATTTCTGTTGAATTAAAAGCTGAAATAGTATGATTATTCTCCAGGCATGACTTGAATGTTTTCCCCCCTTTTAGCATACAATAAATGAATAATTATCCCAAATCCAATCTGCAGAAAGAGCTAATGGGTGAACTCATTCTGATAACAGTTCCTTGGATATAATCCTACCTGGAGCTAACTTTAATTTTAAGCAATTTTTACAATACTTATATACCGGAAACTAAATAGTGCAGAACCAAATCACTTCATTTTAAAGCTGGACATAGTCAAACAATTAATTTTAACCTTAATTTGTTTATAGTACAGAACTATAGCAAGGTTAGTAGATGGTATCTTTTATTTAGAGCAATCAAAAACCTACATTTTTCACTACTGAAGCATGGGAAATAAGAGGCCTAGTCTTGTTTGGCAACATGTCTCTTCAATGTTCTGTTGTGTGAGTAGAATTTTCTTCAAGCTTCCATCTTTTCTTACTTGCAAATTATACACAAAGGCCTATTATTTATGCCTGTTCTATTTTCAATTCTGAGTGCCTTAAAATGATTTATTTTAGCTGAGTTTATTAAATGTACTCTTTGACATTACAGTACTCATTTCAAGGGATTAATGAACACGAGCCTGATGCAGGACATTTTATGGCTATGTTCAATTTTGTGGTTTCGTCAGGCCTTTTGCGTTATCAATATAGATAAATACTAGCATAGATTCGTGTGCATTTCAATATGCTCTATGCCTTCCCTGCATACAAAGATCTTCTTCTTTATAATCCCAGGTGAAGTCTCAGTTACACTGGAAGAAGAGGAAGATGCTCCTGGAAATCCACTACTTTTTATTTCCCACTGCAGGCCTATTGAACTAGGTAATGAATGGTAGCATACGAGAGAAAGAGATGAAATGGATTGTTTCTCTTTGTACTATTTTAGTGGCATGGCCATAATGTATTCTTAGGTCCAGGACTGTTGGGGGGCAAGCAGAGGCCTCAAAAAAGTCAATAGGGCAGCTTTGATTGCACGGTTGTGGGCACCATTTGTCATAACTCCCTCCACAGATGCACCTGTTTAGGTCACACACACACACTCCAAAAGTCTGTTAGGAAATATAGAATTTGAGGTTATAATTGGAGTTATATTTTCAGCACCTATTTCTTAACTATTGCCTTCAGTGTATAGCTAAAATGTAATGGAAATTGTTTTGTGCATCCCTGCCCAATATAAGTTCATAAAACACCATGGAAATCCAGAGCAGAGGAAACAAGAACTAAATGTAAGGATTGAGACAATTCAGCACTTAAGGCTATGAAAATTGTACTTTCATTGGCTGTGATACTGATTGGCTTAAGCGTGCATGGATGTGCCTAGCTAATTGACCAGCCCTTGTTAATACTTCAGATCTCTAGGAAAAAAATCTCTTAACGTGTTTGATGCAGAGGTAGAATTACTGTTCTCCTGAGAAGGCTATCACTGTTAGAGATTTAAGGAGGTTATCATAATAGAAAAAAAGAGATACACTTCTGCATGCTTTATTCCAGTCTTATTTCTGGTTAGAAATAAGAGTCACTCAATATGCTTAAGTGACTAGTTGCAGCAAAATAAATTTTTGAAAAATGCTGAACTGACCAGCTCCTAGCAAATTTCCCTGTCAGCAGGGACAAAGTATGAAGAGTTAATGAGCCACAGAGAAGAAAAAAATGCCCATGTGCAGATTTTTATTTTGTTTTAAACAAAAGTCAGTTGTTAATGTATTTTTGGAACCAACTCTGACAGGAAGCTGAATGATCCCAAAAGACAGACTATCACCTAAAGCAAAGTGAGTACAATTTCTCTATTTAAGGATCATTGTACCCATAACATACAAAGTAGATATATCTACCTATCACCTATGAAGCCACAGAGAGCCCATTCATAACAGTAATTTCAACAAAAGATTTCAGGGTGTCATAAAATAATTATTTCAGCTATTCTAGACACTAATTAATTACATGTTTTAATGGTATTACAGTCAGCAATGGCCCAGAAAGGCCATGGCAATGACATAACAAGAGGGAACAAGCCTTTCCCCCCCCCCTTTTTTTGGATGGGGTTTGGGTTCATTTAAAAAAGAAAATAGAATCCTTGAACTTAGCAGAGACTGAACACAGCTATTTTACTTGTTATTATAATTTTAAAGATATCCTACAGAAAAATACACAGCCAAACTTTGGCATTCTCTATTGAATTGTGGTGTTGTGTGGCTTCGGAGACTGCAAATAAAGGCCTAGAGGCTGAGAGTAAGTGTTGTCTGGTAGGCTGTGACCACCCTAATATACAGTTCTGAAACCTTCATCATCCAGAAGAATTAATGCAATAGTGATAATCGGATCTCAATATTATGGATTCCCTTTCAGGTATTAAGAAAAAAAAATACTGATGTCTGACATACTAACTTTACATCATAAGATTTAAAGGCAATTTTATTTTTTACTGGTTTGTCATCCAGCTTGAGTTTACATCTATATTTTCCTAAATGTTCTTGGAGAAGAAAAATAGTTAACCACACGTTCTCTCTCTTACCATCTCTACCTGATCCTTATCCCCACCCTACCCAATGCAGGTAATACATATCTGTGTCTTTCTCCTATCCTACCTGATGCAGGTAATCCAACAGCAGTATTAGATGCTTCCAAAAATCTCCCCTTCATTCCTTCTGTAGCAAACGAAGGAGGAAAGCATTGGACTGTTAATGAAGTTAGAGCTCTAATACGTGTATGGTCGGAAAAGAGCATCCAGCAACAACTGGAAGGAACAGTGAGAAACAAAAGAATATTTGAACATGTTGCTGCTAGACTACAAAAATTTGGAATTGACAGGGACTGGAAGCAATGCAGAACAAAATATAAAAATCTAAAACACGAGTACAAGAGTGTTAAAGATGCCCAGTACTCAGGCAATATAAGCAAAAGTATGAAGTTTTTCAGAGAATTGGATGCTATTTTGGGACACAATGCAGAGAAAACAAGCAGATCTCATAATGACCACAATGAAAAACCAACAGAATGGATAAAGACCACACTAGAAAAAAAATTAAGAGGTAAAATTTCTGTTACTTTTTTATCAATTTTGCAGCAAATTCTGTATACAAAGAATTACAGTAAAGTTTACAATCTCTGCTTAATCCAAACTATGAAAAAGGGGGAAAGAAAACTAGAAAAATAACTGTAGAAAGGCTGGTGTGTATCTAGTTGGTCAGGTGCTTTAATTTAAGATAGCATTTAGTGAATAATGTCTGAATAACAAGTATTTGAGGGGGCTGATAATACTAGCTGCCATAAAATACAGTCAGATAGTGAGGAGATTGGGGCATTTGTGGGGTGTGTGTGTAAAAAAAAAAAAAAAATCAAGATGGCAGCCACAGAACCAGTCCCCTTCTAAGATGCATGTGAAAAGGGGTAGGGCTTTGAATGCACAGTTACAGTTGCCTTCTTGCCTTTTATGACATCTCCCCATGGATGCCCCAAAGGAGATTTATACATCCATAAGTATTCCTTGTAGTAATAGCTATTCAGCATTTTCTAACTGGATGCCCTGCAGACCCACATCATCTCTAACAGCATAGCTGTTGATCTGCTGCCCAAGGATGATGTGGGCTGTCCACACTACTAGGAGGAAAATAACATAGGATTGTGTTACCTAAGCCATATACCCCCCCATTACCTTGCCACTCAGATTTGCAAATAGACTCACTATGATAAATGCAGTCCACTGAATATTATGGCCTTCTTGGTGATTTGATCAATGCATTATGTTTTTTTTCCTGTGTAGAATTATTTAAACTTTGCATGTACACACTTCTTGAGCATTCAAGCAAAATACAATTTAAGACTGTTGAACTATGTTTGGTTTAGCTGGTTAAGTATCATTTACAGGAAATACAGTTTTACAGGATGTAACACTATAATCCATAACATTTTATCCAGAATTGCATTGAATTACAGGTGAAGAGGACTCCATTAGTAATACACCTGGAGATACTAATACAAGAAAAGTGGCAAATGCAGGTGACTATGAAACACTGGTGATCAATTTCTTGACTAAAATACTAAAGTTCTGAACTCTACAACATGGCGATACCAGCATTTACATAATTGTCCTTTTTGTTGTTTTAGTGATACGCAGCACAGCACAGAGAGATAACTCTGGGCATTTGGAAAAACCCAATTCCACACATAGGAGGGAAAGTATAAAAGAAGAAATTATTGATTCAGGTAAATGGGTGTGCAATTTCATTTCATCTTTTTGTACATTATTATTCGTACATTATATATATATCATTGAATCACAGAACTGGGAAAGGCATCGTGCAAAAATCCAAATGAAAGCAGATAGTTTTCCAGGCTCCAGTAAGACAGTATTTTTCTGGAAATCTGGTTTTGTTGTTGAACTGCTTTTATTGTTATTTAGGAATACTTTTCTAACATCCAACTGCGATCTACCTTCCTGTAATTTAAGACTTATTCAGTGTACTGGAACTGTAGAGAACAAGTCCTGGTCTTCTGTGATATTCTTTCAAGTACCTAAGGAATCCTATCATATTCAGCTTCCATTCTGATTAAGGCTGCGAGGCAAGCAATTAGCTGAGAAAATCAGAAGCTGAAATGAATACGTTAACTAGGGGATAGTTAAATGTGGAGGAAGTCCAAAGTCATAGTTCTGGTAAGTACAAAAATTTAGAAGGAACGAGAAGCTGTCTAGATGAATTGTTATTACCAAAAAGCAAGGTCTGTTAATTTCTCTTAATGTAATGCTAATTTCTGCCCCCCTTCTGCTAATGAAACCTAAAACCATCTTTACATTTTCTTAGCTGTGTCACACTGCTGGCTCATATTCAATTTATAATCAGGCAGGACTTAATTCTGGGGCATCCCTGTACATACTGGAGGAAAGTGAGAAATGGTTTCAGAGCACAGTATTTTCAAGCCAGCAGCAGTCCCTTGTAACAGACATGTCATTTACTCCACATTTCACTGACTTGCTAATCAGAATGCCATGTCAGGTTCATTGAAATCAAGATAAATTATCCCTATAGCATTTCCACAGTCTACTAAGGATATAAAAAATGAGCCAAGGTTAGCCACTAAGTCCTACTCTTAACAGTTACACACTGGCTTCTAGTAATTACTGCACTGTTTTATGACCTGCCCCAGAATCTTCCCAGGTATTGATGTCAGAGTGATCAGCGTAATTCTCTGGATCTTTATTCTGTTACTTTTTGAAGTTAGAGAGAGCACTAGCTCTCTGTGAGCCATCTAGCATTTCACCAGTTCTCAAGGATTTATCAAAGATAATGACCTGTGTGGTTCAGCCACGCTATCAGCAAATTATTTTCAGTATTCTAGGATACAATTCATCTAAAGCTAGAGACTTAAATTCAGTTTAAAGTAAATAGATTTTTCTGAACATATTTCTGTCAGTCTCAACCTTCCATTTGGCTTCTTCCTTCTGTTCCTCACAACTGCCTGGTGGAACAGATATCCCCATGCCAGAGAAGATTGAGCTAAAATAGGTATCAGGTAATTCTGTCTTTTCTCCATTATCAATGAGCATTTTGCCACCTTTATTGAGCAGCTCCCCTTCATGGATCACTGCCTTGTCGTGGCGAAGGGGCTTGCGTAACTCAGTGAAGCCATGAGCTATACTGTGCAGGGCCAC